ATCCACATGCCTTTCAAAGTTTTTTATTTTGAGACTGGGACTCACTAAAGTTGCTAAGGCTGAGCTCAAACTTGTGACCCTCCTGCATTAGCCTCCCAGAGTGCTGGAATTATAGTTGTGTGCCACCATGCCCAGCTTCTAGTTCTTGATTACCATGGTTACAGGTGATTTCAAATGACACATGGAACTCATGCCTTGACCCCTCCCTCTATTCCACTCTCTGTATTTGCTTCTTATCCAGACTAGATTCCAAATTCTTTGAAGTTACATTAATCGCCTGTCTGATTGTCCTTCTGTTATACCAGTAAGGGGAATGTGATGTGCTGCTATAGAAAATCTCACCTCCTCTGGGCATGGTTTCGTATGCCTGTAATCCCAGCACTTGGGAGTTTGAGGGCAGCAAGACCCTGTCTCAGAAAACAAAAATGAACAAAAAAGAAAATCCCACCTCCACAAAGATGACCCTACAGAGTAGTGACCTCTTACTCTCGTTTTAGTGGCCTCTCTGCCTAGTGAGCCTCCTTTGCTCTCTCTAGTCAGCTTTCTTTGCTAGTCTCTACAGTGGCTACTATTAAGTTTCTTCACTTTCCCAGTATTCTCCATCTGACTACCCCACTGTCTTTGCTCTCAACCCTTAGCCTAGGTACCCTTGATGTTCGCTACAAGAGAAAAATCATCAATTAGAACTCTTTCTACTTCTGTCCCTTAAAATGTACAAAGTCAGTTGCATTTGTACCCAAGCAGAAAGTAGGAGGCGAATTTTCTCCCGAATAGAGCGTCTCCTACCCAGTACTGAATCCTGTTCTTGTTTCCTAGCCTGCGTTTTCAGCCTTTTCCTCTCTACAGACTTGAGCACACCAGCATTAAGTACATACTTATTTCGCCTCCTATAAAAACAAAAAAAGGGGGAAAAGTCTTGCCTTGGCCCTGTGTTACCAGCAATGCTACCTTCTCATCTTGCTGCTTCTGTTCCCTGAGGTCACAATTGGCTGATGCCCTGAAAGGGCATTAGTCCTCAGTTCTAGGGCCTCTGGTCTCTGCCCCACTCCTCTTTTAGGTGTAGCAGTGACCTCTTCACTGGCTTCAAGTCAGTGAGCACTTCTTAGTCATTATCTTACATGCTTGAGGTGTTTTTTTTCTTGCTTTTTGAAACAGGGTCTCACTATGTAATTGAGACTGACCTGGAACTCACTATGTAGCCCAGGCTGGTCTTGAACTCACAGTGATTCTCCTGCCTCAGCCTCCAGGGTGCTGGGATTACAGGCATGAGCCACCACGCCCAGCCCCTTGACTCTTACAATTGATTATTCTTTTCTTAAAACTCTTTCTTTGGCTTCTTCTCCCTCTGGTGACTTGTACACTGTCATCTCAACTTCTGCTTGTGCTTTAAGTATTGGTGTTCCTTGGGGTAACTGCTGTCTCCTCACAACACACTTGCCTCATTGATCTTTGCCATACCCAAATCTTCAGGGTCATCTACGTGGTTTTTTTTTTTCATCTACATTTTAATGAATCCCAAATCTATATATCTAACTCAGATGCCTCTTGGGCTTTCAGACTGCTCACATCCTGTTCCCTTTCAGACATTTCCTTTTGTCTGGGTGACCTTCAGGCAACTCAAATCTAGTGTAGCCAAAAAGTCATGTCTCCTTTAGCTCCTTGCTCTTGCCTCCAACCTTGCTTATCCCATTTTCTGTTTTAATGAATGGTACTATCCATCTTTTGTTTAAACCAAGAAACTAAATGTTTTAATACTCCTCATGGAATGAGACAAGACAGTACTGACAGTGAACAGAGTGCTACCAGGGTACAAGTAGAGGAGACTTCAGAAGTGGCTCTTAGTCCCTCTCCATCAGTAACCACTTTACTCTTGACATCTCCATTCCAGTCTCCCTGTTTTTGGTTTAGCCTCCTATCTCTCCTGGATTATCATCTAGTCTTCTTAACTTCTCCATCTTCAGTCCTGTCCCTTTCAGTTTAATCTCTGCACAGTGGCCATATCATCTAGTATGATCATGCATTTCCTGGTGTGAGTCCTTCAGTGGCTGGCCAGTGCCTATAAGCTGCTTTGCTTGTCACTTATCTCATCTCTAGCCTCTCTCTAGTTCTAATCGTGCTATGCAATTTTCTCATTCCCCCAGTATCGCCCTTGGTGTTCTCTGAGCTGCGTGTGTGAGATATCATCTGTCTGGACAACCTGCCCTGTTTGTTTAGCTAATTCTAAGCATTTCTCAGGTCTTGGATTTAAATGCCACTTTCTCTAGCAAACATTTCTTGACATCACAAATGTGAATTAGGTGACCTTCCTCCATACTCCCCTAACATGATGCACTTCTCCTATCATAGAATTGCCACGTAGAATGGTACTTGTCTGTGCTCACTGTGGATTGACCAGAACTCTAAGGACAGTGTGTGTGGCTGTCTTCTTGTGAGGAAATGTGTCAGGCTGCACAGGTTACACAGAGCTCCTTTTCCTCTTCGCACAGCAGGTAGAATGAGGAAGGCAGATCTAAAAACGGAAGGCTAAGCCATTGTCTGCAAGCGAGGTGGTCTCAATGTGATGCTACCAGAGTTGCTTTCTGGATGTGTTGCCACCCATGTACTTCATGACTGTGGTCCTTGTGGGAATGGTCACAATGCCAAATTATTTCAGAATGTGGCTTTGTAGTGCAGATGCTGATCTGGAACAAAGAATCACTTGGTCCATTTTGTCTTGTTTCCTTTGACCCAATCTGCTGTAGGTCATGTTGCTAAAGAACAATGAAATGTCTGCAAGGTAAGAAAGAGAATAGAAATGCAAAGATAATCTTTAATCCCTAGATTACTGAGTACTCACCATCCCAAACCACCTACTCCTAGATAAAATGAAATTGTTTTACCATTCTGGAATGTCTAAGATAGTGAGTCACTGGAATGCCTCATCTCATTCAAAGGTGACATCTTGACATTTTTGACATAATAAAGAGATACAGATTAAATTTACATTCTTTTCAAGAGGAGCATAAACTGCATTTGTGTAATCTCTGTGTAGGCAAAGTGTTATACTGTATCCTACTTATATAATATAGTTCTTAGGCAACTTGACCAAGTAATCCCTATTGTAGTCAAATTTTTATGTGTGAACATACTCTGGACCCTAGTTTAAGAATTTTCTCTGTAGAACCTATTATAGTAGTAGTGCTTTATACTTGCATAAAGTTTTACAATTATTCAGGTACATGCAAGATCTTAGTTTGACCTTTTAGTAACTCTTTGAGGTAGGGGAACAAGGATTATCACCCTCATTTTTGCTGAATAGAAATCATATGGCTGCTAAATGACAAAGTGAAGACTTCACTGTGCCTAGTCCTATGTTCTTTCCCTCATGGCACATAGCTTTGTGTTCAAGATCATATGTGTGCAAATGTGTTTTATATACATAGTTAATCAAACCTCTTTTAAGATCTGGGCAAAAAAAAAAAAAAGAAGAAGAAGAAAAAGATCTGGGCCAGTTGAGAAATAGAGTCAAATGCAGCTCATCTTATGTTTTATTGTAGATAAAGCTGTGTGGAAAATTGCAGCCTGAGCACATGGCAGGAGGCCCTCCTCACCCATCAATTGTGGGAGGGCAAGGGTTCCTGTTCTGTTCGTGTTGTAGGAGAGAGTCAGGTTGGTTCTTTCTGAGGAGCTGATTCAGTTGGGGGAAAAAATGTAAGCTCCGTAAGGGCAAGCCCTTATATTTAACACGCCCTGTCCCCCGTGTATGTAGCATAGGTCTGAGCATGTCATTGGTACCCAACAAATATGTGTTGAACAAACTGTAATCTTCACAATAACCCAGAAGTAGCGAAGTTTACATATTATCAGAGACAGAAAGGCCCAATGTGTAGATGAGTGGTGCTTTAAAACAGTTGCACATTATTTCTTTTACCCACCTGAAGACATGCTGGTTGCCTGATCAGAGACCGTGCTCTAGCTGGTGCAGGAAGCTGCCTGTCCTAGTGACTCTTACAGAGTGATGGCTGCTCATCAGCCTCTCACTCTTCCTGTTCTTACATGTGCAGAGTTCGCCTAGGTTCTATTTTGAACATACTAATAATATACTGCCTTTTTATACTTTCTTCTGCCTTTTTCCCCCATCTCTGTTAAGTTATTGAAAGAGAATTTTCTTCTACTCTGCTCTATTTCCCAAAATACTGACTCTCTCTCCTTCTAGTAAACAAATTAAAGAATAGTACCGGTAATATTCTTTCTCTATCAAGTGTTATTATTATTATTTTTTTACTACTACAGTACATAATGATTACATTCCCTGTGGGGAGTGGGTATGTGTACAGTACACATCTTAATTTTTTTTCATCCCCTTCCCAGGTTTTAAAGTGACTAAATGGCCCCCTTTTTTGGTACTGGGGATTGAACCCAAGCCTTTCCGTTGAATTACATCTCCAGTCCTTGTTTGTTTGTTTTTTTTTTGAGACAGAGTCTCCCTGTATTGCTCAGTTTCCTAAGCTGGGCTTAAACTTGTGAGCTTCAGTTTCAGCCCATTTAAAAAGTCAGCAAGTATTTTTTATATGTTTAAGCTTTTGCTGAAATACCAGCATTAAGAATAAATAAGTTTTTTATTCCATTTTATTTTAAAAAGCACATTAGACTCTACTTACACTGCTGATTTTTACTGCAAACAAAATTTCAGCAGTGCATGAAGAAGCATTGCAGCTTGCCATTTTGTGGGAAAATGCGTACTATTTTCGGGTTTAGAATTAGCTTGTTGGGGCCAAGGATTTAGCTCAGTGGCAGCACGCCTGCCTCACAAGCACAAGGTCCTGAGTTCAATCCCCGGTACCAAAAAAAAAAAAAAAATAAAAAAAAAAATAAGCCTATTGAATATAACCAGTGTGTTGTGTGTTCTATCTAACAGGCACAGGGTGATTTGTAGACTTTGTCAAACTCCTAAGTAGGAATAGAAGAATTTCTTACCTTCATGCCCACAACACACAAACTTTGATGTGTTTGTCCCGCAGGAAAAGCATTTGACATCACCTATGTGCGCCTGAAGTTTCACACCAGCCGCCCTGAGAGCTTTGCTATCTACAAGCGCATGCGCGAGGATGGACCTTGGATACCGTACCAGTACTACAGCGGCTCCTGCGAGAACACCTACTCCAAGGCCAACCGTGGCTTCCTCAGGACCGGAGTGGACGAGCAGCAGGCCTTGTGCACCGATGAATTCAGTGACATTTCTCCCCTCACTGGGGGCAATGTGGCTTTCTCAACCCTGGAAGGCAGACCCAGTGCCTACAACTTTGACCACAGCCCTGTGCTGCAGGTAGGCCCTCCCAGGGCAGCACAGGGCCAGGCAGTTCTGCCATATGCCAAGTGCAGTACAGGAAGCCAGGTGTAGGAAACCTGAGGCAGGTGGGCCTGGGCCTTGCCCTCCTCCTGCAGTGAGCAGGTGGAATGGCTCCTGGGATGCACTTGTGTGCTAGGATGCGAGCATACCTTGGAATATACACTGTATATGCATTTCTTAAATGTCTTGCTTCTGGACTTTTGTATTCTAAGAATCTCTCTCTGTCTGTCTCTCCCCGCCCCCCTCTTTCCCTCCCTCTTCCCCCCTCCCACATATTGAACCTGGGCCTTTTTACTGAGCTATATTCCCAGCCCTTTTTATATTTATTGTTTTGAGACAATTTCCCTACATCTCTTGAGTTGCTCAGGCTGGGCTCAAACTTGCAATCCTGCTTCAGCTTCCTAGATTGCTGGGATTATAGGCCTGGCACTTCTTACCTCTTTGATTTGATAAATAAAAGCTTTTTTTTAATCAGTAAAGGGGAGCAATCGAAACAAGATATTAAGAATGTTTCCTTCTGGCCGGGCATGGTAGCACATGCCTGTAATCCCAGCACTTGGGAGGCTGAAGCAGGAGGATCATCATGAGATCAATACCAGCCTAGACTACATAGTGAGACCCTGTCTCAAAAAAAGAAAAAGAAAAAAAAAGAATGCTGCCTTCTTTCATTATTATTCAAAGAAATTTTAGAGTTTGTCTGGCACTGTTGCCAAACACTCTTGAGAATTCTTCATCACCAAGAAAGGACAGGTGTTAGCAAGAAGCTATCAGTTAGTTAAGTGCCTCTGGTGTGCTTGAGCATCATGATAGAAAGTTTTTCCTATTTAACAATAGAACTAAAAGGTGCTATTTATTTATTTATTTATTTATGTATGGTTTCCTGAGACAGGGCCTCACTATGTAGTTGATACTGGCCTGGAACTCACTATGTAGCCCAGGCTGATTTCGAACTCACAGTGATCTTCCTGCTTCAGCCTCCCGAGTGCTGAGATTACAGGTGTGCACCACCATACCCAGCTTAAAAGCTGCTTTTAAAAATCAATCATTTGTATGTATTCTTTTTGTTTTTTTTTTGTTTTGAGTTTTGAGACAGGGTCTCACTAGGTAGTTGAGACTGACCTGGAACTCACTATGTAGCCCAGGCTGGTCTCAAACTCACAGTGATCCTCCTGCCTCAGCCTCACAAGTGCTGGGATTACAGGAGTGCGCCACCATGCCCAGCTCTTTGTATGTATTCTTTACATATCTGCATATGGAATCTTTGATATTACTTAGATTACCATGAATTTTCATAGGTTCTGGCTCTGTGACTATAGAAAGACTGGTAAGACCCATGCCACTCTCAATGTTAACCCAGAATTAATCCAGATGCTACTATCGTGTGGCTGAAGTTAGCGTCTAAGTGAGGGGCAGCCTATATTCATTGACTGAGGAAAAAAATACTAGATATAGGCTAGCAAATGATGTGTACATTTTATGAAAAGTTGTTATTATTTCTAAATAGGAAATCCTCCTGTCTTTCTGGGTTTTCTGTGTTTGTACCTTCCCATTTTTGTCTCTCTGGAACTTACTATTTTCAGGGGCTCATTTTCTGATTTGGTTGTATGGTTTTGAGCAGTGCCAAAAAATGAGAACATATTTCTCTTTATCCAGTTTTCCTCTCCCACTGCTGGAAGATGGTGAATATGAAAGTACATGGTAAACTCTGAGTTTATGGTGAACAATAAGTATGTTGGCAAAGGCCTTTCAGAAAAATGTATCTTGCAGTAGAGATCAGGTGTGTTCAAAATAAATGGAAAGAATAGCTGATTTAGATCTGTAAAAAGCAGAGAGCTGAAGTCGTCAAGGATAGGTAACGGAGCATGTACTTGCCTTATTTCTTCCTACAGCAGATCGTTGTATTTTCATGTCCTGGGGAGACAAACTACTGTGTAGTCAGTAGGAAAAAATTGTGTTATAGAGACTGGTTTTCTCATGCCTTTGCTAACGTATGCCCATCGGTCTGTCTTGAGCAGCTTGCAGAGCTCTAGGAATTTTGATGTGAGACTACATGTGGTAAAAATGCAGTGTATATCTGCTTAAGTTGGTCAGTATATTTCATTGTGCAGGAGCTTTAATTATGTATCTCTGGATGTAAGAGCTGTGGCTCTCACAATGCTGTTGCCAAGGATGGTGAGCAGATTTGACTTTTAGCTGATTTGACAGTGAGGAAACAGGCTGATGTCCTTTTCCTCCAAAAGCTGCAGCTTCTCAGATAGAGGCTGGTTTCACTATATGTGAGCATTCCTAAGCAAGTGTTGATATTGTTTATAATAACAGTTAGCATTTGTTATATACTTACTGTGCTATGACGTGGCAAGCACTATTCTAAGCCCTTTAGATATATTAAACTTCTAACTCTCATAATGACTCTGTAAGGTATTTCTATTATCTCCATTTTTCAGATGAAGAATCAGAGGCCCAGAGAGGATATAACTTGCCCTGAATCAGTGTTAAATGACAGAACTGAGATTCCAACCTGATAAAGTTTAGCCCCAGTGTCTGCTCTTTTCAAGATGCTCATTATAAAACAACACTAGCTTGTGTTGTCCTTTTTTATTTTTATTTTTTTTGGTACCAAGGATCAAACTTGGGTCCTTGTGCTTGCAAGGCAGGTGGCGGCACTACTGAGCTAAATTCCTGGCCCTATGTTGGCCTTTTTTTAAAAAATTTTTTGGTTTGAGGGTTGAACTCGGGTCCTTGCACTTGCAAGGCAGGTGGCAGAACCACTGAGCTAAATCCCCAGCCCCAGCCTTTAAAAAGCCTTCATTCAAGGAGAACTGTGATAGAGATGAATCCTTTAGAAGATGATACAGTAAGCATTAAACAGATATATTTAGCTATTCACATTACAGAAGACCAACAGATACCTACAGTTGTAGCCATGAGTGGGAGTTGTTTTGAGTTCCAAGTTTGGAGACAGTGAAATCATCATCTCTTCTTTCTAATTATACCTGAAGCTTCATGGAGATTAGTTTTTATGAGTTCTTCATGTTGCTCTGTATGCCAGCTGTTTGGCGTAGTTTGGGTAGTGGTTCTTAATCGGGGCTGTGCCTCCAGTCTCACACGGAGGTTTCTGGAGGCATAGATGCCTCTACCTCTGCACTTGCTGGTTCTTATCCCTGAAGGTGATTCTGACATGTAGCGCCCAGGAGCTTCCCCTTGGGCTGAGAGCAGAAATGGTTAGTGCTTTGAAACAACCATAGCACATTCTTTCTCATGATTCTGTGTTAGCCTGGGTCACTTACCCAGCAGGTCAGCCAAGGGGGCTGGGTCTTTTTCTCCTGGTGGTCTTCATCCTCAGGAGACAAGACTAGGCTTTTCCTCATGGTGTAGAAAGGGTTCCAGGAGGGCAAGTCCCAGTGCACGAATACTTATCAAGCCTCTGTTGGTGTCACAGTTGCTGCTTTTTCCTCTCCAAAACTAGTCACACAGCTGTGTGGGAAAGGATAATACAGGGTGTGGCTCTAGCAAACGGATTCATTGGGATTATTGTGATAACAGTCTACCACATGTGTAACATCTGATAAAATTAGCTCAGTGGAAGGGCATTTATTATTAGGGCTTAGCTCTCATAAAACCTGGGGGGAAATTGTATAACTTTCATTCTTCAGCTACCAACTTGATCAGACAGTTTTTTTTTTCCCCAAATTTATTCATTCACTCAGTAAATAGCTATTTGCACACATACTGTACGTTGAACAGTAGGGGGAAATTTTAGCGAAGAAAACAGGCACAAATTTCCTTTCTGCCGGAGCTTACAGTCAGATTGTGGTGGTAGGATGTATACAAACAGACAATATATAACTAAAATAGGAAGGGGGATTAGGTGTTGGGAAGGGATAACAATTTTAGGTAAAGGTAATTTTGTAGGGGAGGTGAAGACAGAAATGGACTACACTTGGTTGGTTTAGATCACTGGCAGTGGACCTGTGGCACGCATGCCGCCACAGCAGACTGTATCATTGTTCTGGCCATCACTGGTCTAAAGCAATGTAATGACTTTTTTCTTTGGGCTTGGGCATCTCCAGAGCCACAAGGGTTGGATCTGGGAGGAGGAATAGATGATATAAAATGAGCAGGAGGAGTCAATGACTAGTGTATTTATTCAAGTGTAGTATTCATGAGCTCTGAGCCGCTACCTCTGCCTCTCTGACTACATTTGTGTTTAGATGTGAGATGGAGAGAAGGGACATACATATTGAGGCCTAATGTATGTTAGACACACACACACACACACACACACCCCCCGTGGTGCTGACAAGCAATCCCAAGACCTTCCATATGATAGGCAAATGTTCCTCCATGGAGCTACAGAATGCTAGGATTTAAGCCTCTCACCAGCCTTGTAAAGAAACTGGTAATATCACTACTTTTCTGGTCTCTTAATGGTAAAGTGACAATATCAAAGAAAAAAAAAATTAGGAAATTAAAAGAGTCACTATTTTAATAGATTTAGTGCAAGAGAGGGACACAGGTTAAATGACCTATAAACTGTTTAGGACTTTTTGTCACATTTGTGTTTCATGTCCTTAGACCCTCTGCTTTTCTCTGATACTTTGCTTTTGCTGCCTGACAGGAATGGGTAACTGCCACTGACATCAGAGTAACTCTGAATCGCCTGAACACTTTTGGAGATGAAGTGTTTAATGATCCCAAAGTCCTCAAGTCCTATTACTATGCAATCTCTGATTTTGCTGTAGGTGGCAGGTAAGTAAACTATTAAATCAGCTGATTGGAGCTTTGGTGTGAAACTTAGCAACTTGCTTACAGCTATACTGATATTATAACCAGACCTTTTCTGACAGTAGAATTGGGAAGATGTAAGGATAGTATATATTTGGAAGAGGCAAAACCTAGAATATCTTTCTTGTCAAATCTGCTTATTTTTGTGGAAACTAAGCAGTTAGGTTTTTCACAGTCTTGTCCAATCAGCATCCTTTGTGATTACATATTGACTATTTAAGTGCAGAGCTCCATGACAGACTCAGAGAAGCTGCTGAGCAAGCATGAGACTTAACATCCTCCTGGGAAGGCCTGACCTTCTTGGATCTTATAACTGAATGGGGAAGGCCACGTGTGAATATGTGAGTTTAAATATAGATTAGATCCCTAATCTAGAAATCTCAAACCTGAAATGCTCCCAAAACTAAAACTTTGAGCACTGATGTGATGCCTCAAGTCGAAAATTCTCCTTATTTCAGGTAATGGATCATGGTCAAAACCCAGGCACAGTAAAAACAGTATATAAAATTACCTTCAGTGTGTGTATTAAATATATATGAAACATATATGAATTCCATGTTTACACTTGGGTTCCATTCCCAGGATACCTCATTATGTATATACAAATACTTAAAAATCTGAAAAAACACTTGTGGTCCTGAGCTTTTGGAATAAGAGATACTCAGCCTATACTGACATAGTCATATATTTTAAATAAAAAGTCAAGTATGGTAGAAAAGATGCATACGTCAAGAATTAGCTAGTACTGGCAGTCTAAAGAAGTGGATGGGGTTGGGGCCGGGGATCTAGCTTAGCAGTTCGGTGACCTGCCTTGCAAGCGCAAGGACCCGAGTTCAATCCCCGGTAACAAAAAAACAGAAGTAAATGGGGTATGAGCTGGGTCTTAAAGAATGGGTATCATTTGATAAGGAGAGAAGACAGCTAAATTGGATGGATGTTTATCCATCGAGGAACATGGATATCCAGAGAGCATAAAATTTAGACGTGGAGGAGTATATAAGCCTATTTGAAAGAAGGAAAATCTCCTGTGGTTTTCTAGAACTTTAAATCAGACAGCTAGTTTAGTGGCTAGAGACCTCATTAGCAGGCTAAGCATTTGGACTTTTCTCCCTTGTATTAGACTGTGAGGTCTCAAACAGAAAGATTATTTTTATATGTAGCATTCGGGTATGGGATTGATTCTCAGCCAGAGTTGTTGGAAACTGTCAGTAATGAGAAATCTGGCAAATTTTTTGGAGTAGAGCTGTGATATCAAATCAGTGGGTTAGAAAGTTTAGTATACAAGCATGGTGAAAGTAGAGTACATTTGAGGGAATGTTATATTCCTCTTTGATACAGTAAAGTGTTAGACCACAGGTGTCTGACATTAGCTGGTGACAATAGAATGGACAGGAACTTGCAGATGCACTTTACTGTGAAGGAATCAAATCATGAAGAAAATGGGATAACTTAGGAAAGATGAGTTCAGTTGTAGCCATGTGAAGTTGTAGGTAATGGGAGACATCTAAGCTTGTGCAGCAGTTGAGGATAAGACCTTGGGAGAAAAATGAGAGCTGGGGATCTAAATTTGGGCCTCAGCAAAGTAGGAACAATTCCAGATATTTATTTGTATTTTTAAATGGCAGTTGGAACTGTAGAAATGATTTCCATCTTTAAAAGCAAGCAAGGGAAGTGTTACTCCTCCATCATGAGTTAGAATTCATGGAGTTTGTTTGAGTGCTTACTTTGCGATAATGCCTGCATCTGGGATCCGTCAGGGATTCTTGCCCAAGCTACCTGAGGGAATGTTCTCACTCCTTGATATCTGAGTGGAGGGTGACATATCTAATTTTGTGCCTCACCACCTTCAAATGGAAATACATGACCTTACTATGGCAGATTATTGCTGAGATATATTGAGTTATGTGATAGTGCAATCCTGACACATAATGAAATAACTCTTCGGTCCTCCTAATAATCTTATGAGAAAGGCCTTATCCTGCCTGCTCTGTAGGTGAGGTTCCAATATACTAAGTGACAGAGAAAGGCTTCACACCTGGGCATTCTGGATCCTGACCTCATGCTCTTTTTAACCACTGCACTCTGCTGCTTTCTGACACACACTTCACTTCAGGAATTGATCCTACAAGTATCCTCGGGAGCTGTTAGGAGCTTTTCCTCTCATGCCTGGTTAATGTCATGTTCCATTACATATGTTTTTGCTTTAATCATGCTTATGTCCTCAGTTTACATGTTTAAGAATAGTGGAACTAAATAGCATTTTCAGTTTTCTGTGTACATATTTTTTCTGCATCATTTCTGGGACCATGTGGCAGTTCTGTTCTTGGGAATGTCTCTTCTCTCCACAGGTGTAAATGCAATGGACATGCCAGTGAGTGTGTGAAGAATGAATTTCACAAGGTGGTGTGTAACTGCAAACACAACACATATGGAGTAGACTGTGAGAAGTGCCTTCCTTTCTTCAATGACCAGCCATGGAGGAGGGCAACTGCTCACAGTGCCAGCGAATGCTTGCGTGAGTGCCTGGGCACTGTTTACCTGCTTGTCTGGTGGAATCTGGAAATGGAGGAAGAAAAGGATGGCTTTCTTTTAGTCCTCCTTTCGAAGGAAAACTCTGAAAGGCATTGCTCCTTTGATACTTTGAGAGAGTAGAACCGTAAACTGCATGCATATCAGAGGAAGGTTGCAGAGGAAAACAGTTGGCTGTCTTCACAAACTATTCTGGTTATTAGATTAAAAAACTATGCCAGTGTAGCCTCTCTAAAGATTTCTCTAGTCTTTCTTTGTTGTTGATGTTGCCATTTAAGGTATAATCATCCATCAGTATCCATGGACAATTGCTCCAGAATCTTCTTCAAATATGAAAATCTGTGGGTACTCAAGTCATTTATATAAAATGGTGTAGTATTTGCACATAACCTATGCACATCTTCATTTAAGCTTTAAAATCATCTTAAGATTACTTCTAATACCCAATACAAATATAAGTAACTGATATATGGTATTGTTCAGGAAATAATGACCCAAAGAGTCTGTATGTGTTCAGAACACTTTTTTTTCATTATGTTTATTGGTACATTTAAGGTAAACAATACAGTTACATTCACCATTGGAATCTCATACCTTTACATATCTTGGTTCTTATTTTTTCCCCATTCCCCTGCCCTCCCTTCACCCTCTAGAACAATTTTTTTCCAAATATTTTTAATCAGCAGTTGGTCAAATTTGTGGGAGCAGAACCTGCAAATATAGAAGGCTAACTGTTCCTATCAGTGTTCCTTTACTCAAGCAGTCAGTTGGATTAGTGTGTGTCAAGTACAGTGAGTTCAAGACTAAAACTGCTGTCCAAAAGATAATTTCTCAAAATTAGTTTTCCTTTGTCTTACTGAAGAGTACAGTGGGAAGAATTTTTCAAGTCCCCTTTTGGAGAGCTGGGTGGCATTGGGAGGGAAAATTCTATTCCTAGAAAATGAAAAACGAAAAAGTTACCACACTGTTTATCCCTTTATAATGCCATGGTTTATTCTGAACAGATAGAGAAAGAAAACTGAGGGGGAGGAAACCATGCAATAATAATAATGATTTGCCACGGACTTAACAATAACAGACTTTTAAGGCAGCTGTAATGTTCTTTTATCTTTACAAAGATACTTAATCAGACTGTCTTGAAAGTAAAGTGGATAAGAACGAAGACTCTGAGCTTGCAGACATTGTTGGGAGAAACCTTGACTCATGGCTATTCTCCATTTCGCTACTGAGAGCAGATTTTCTTACTCACCTTTTCCCTCAATAAGTCCCACAGTTACAGATAAAATTTACAGCCTCCTCTAGCATTTCTGAGACTTGTTTGAACTTCATTAATTCCATTACTGAGCTGAAATATCCAGGGCTGGAAGCTGCGTGATAAAGACTGGCAAAAGAAAAAATGAAATGCTCCTTAGATGTGCCATCCTAATAAGCAAAGACAGAGCTTTGAGAAGTACTCTGCTGAATGATGTCATACTTTGGGTCTAGTCAGGAAACTATAAGAAAAACAAATAAAACATCTTGCCATAAACTGACTGCTGTAGCTAAAAAACTGATGAGGAGCTAAGTCAGTTTGCTTTCTTCCTTGATCTTTTATTCAGGACTGTGATGCTTCAGAGCAAAGCTTGTGGATATTGTGACAGTACTGTCAGGGTGCAGAGGCCAGGGAAGAGAAAATTATAGCTGTCTTCTTTCTGTTGGTGCTCTGGATTTGGAACAGTGGGACCTGAGAATTGTTTTGCTTCCTAGTCACAAGAGCACCACACCTTTGTGGTGGGTGTACTGGGTTGATTGAGAGATAATCTAGGTTGTCTTGAGGGAAGAGAAACAGCCAATGAACAAGGGAAAGAGAGCTACAAAACTCTGCACATTGGGCCAGGGTTTAGCTCAGTGGTGCCACAGCCTGCCTCATAAGCGCAAGGTCCTGAGTTCAATCTCTGGTACCGCAAAAAACAAAACAAAAAATAACTCAATATTTGGTGCCAGTGATTCAAGTTTCCACAAGTTTTTAGTTACAGTATTATTGTTTTTCTTTTCTCAGTAGCAGGGATTGAAGTCAGGACCTTGCACTTGCAAGGCAGGCAACAACACTGCTGAGCTAAATCCCCCCGGGCCTACAATATTTTTAAAAACTGATTTAAGGAAGGAAGAAAATGCATATATTAAAATATTTAAAAAGAGTTAACATACTACTCTGAAACCAATAATACTTTATTTGGTGTTCAAGATACTATCTGTACTTTGAGTAGTATCAATAATTTTGAGAAAAATCGCCTTAATATAAGTATATCTCGTGTTTCCTGTCCAATTATGCAAGAAATCTGGCACTTTGAAAATTAGAGTCTTAGTGTATATGAATCATCTACGACCTAAAACTTAAAACTAAGGCTGTACATAAATTGGCGCATTATTTTTAGACTTGATAGTAGAAGTGAAGGATAAAGAATCTGGAAAATTATACTTCGATTTGGTTTTTAATTATATATGAACCAACTGTGTGGCTGCAGATTTTTTTTTCTGAGTATAGGAGTTTCTTGTGTTTTTTGTACGGGTGAATATTTCATAGTAAACTACTAATCTGGTTGTATAAAGTTTTCATTGATATACTGTTTTGTTTTGCTTTGTTTTTGCCTCTGGCAGTCACACTTTACCGCATCTGTCACAAAGATGTAGGAAATCATAGTTTATTAAAATGCTATAATCAAACATGCACTAATCTGATATAACTTGTGTGTTTTGGCTGACAGCTTGTGACTGCAATGGCCGATCACAGGAATGCTACTTTGACCATGAATTGTACCGTTCCACTGGCCATGGTGGCCACTGTACCAACTGCCGTGATAACACAGACGGTGCTAACTGTGAGCGGTGCCGGGAGAACTTCTTCCGCCTTGGGAACCATGAAGCCTGCTCTCCATGCCACTGCAGCCCCGTTGGTAAGTGACATGAGAGACTCACTGAGGCTGATGGCTGGAGAGACAAAAATGAGAGCTCCTGGTACCCACAGAAAACTAGAGATTTGCTTCTGGGCAACACAGTTATGGAGGATGCATATTATGTAGCACGTCTATGATTCTGCATCATCTTTACTCCCTGCCTTCACTCTTGTCTTACCCCAGTTGAACTTTTTGATGATTTTCTGATGTGTGTAAAAATGTGGAGGTGGTCTGATTAGTGGTTTTGTAAATAACTAGCGATAGGGTCATGGAGATTATTTGAACTTTGACTATAAAAGGATCTTCCTTGTTAGTGATTTTGTTTGGTCTCATCTTCTTAGAGGGCTAAACTGTTTTAAGTATGTTGATGTGTACCTAGAAATGCACGTCACTCTTAGACCATCATACTTTGTCAACAGTTTGACCGTTGCTTTGTATTCATCCCTGTATTTACTTAAATTCTAGACATGGGCCTTTAAGAAGCTGTGCTCACTCCGCAGGGAAGTGACTGGTTTTGGGTGTAGTGTACTGTTGGATGCAGGACAGTTTGCAAGTGTTGTTTAACACTATGAATAGATTCATTTTATGCTGTGCCTGGAAAATTAAAATACCATGATTTAAAAAGGTCTGATTTTGAGAGAGTTGTGGTTTAAAATGTGATTTTGGGGGCGGGGATTTGCCTCAGTGGCAAAGTGCAAGGTCCTGAGTTTGATCCCCAACACCAAAAAATAAACAAACAAGTAAAATGTGATCACTTTTTCCCTCTGTGATAATCTAGAGTTTATATATCTGTGTCAAGAATTTCTTTTAATTACCATTTGTCTTTCTTTTGATACATTGTTTTGTTTTGTGTTTGTTTTTGGTACTGGGGATAGAACTCCTGGCACCACTGAGCTAAATCCCTGGCTTTTGATACATTGGTTTTGATTCCACCTGGAGTTGTGGTTGAGAGTGAACTCATTACATTTTAGGTTCTCTCAGCACACAGTGTGATAGTTATGGCAGATGCAGCTGTAAGCCAGGAGTGATGGGTGACAAGTGTGACCGCTGCCAGCCTGGATTCCATTCTCTCACTGAGGCAGGATGCAGGTAAATTGTTTTTAAAATTAGAAAAAGAGGGTGGGGGCAGTGTCTGAATATAGTAAATTCATAATCATACATCTTTTGGCTTATTGACAGCAGCACAAACATTTTACCCCATAATAGTAATCAGTAAGGTTCGAGAATAACTGTTGAGATGAACCTATAGGGTTTTGGTTTGTATGGAGAATAAGGAGAGGGTTTTTTTTTGTTGTTGTTTGTTTGTTTTTTGAGACAGGGTCTCACTATGTAGTTGAGACTAACCTGGAACTCACCATGTAGCCCAGGCTGGTCTCGAACTCACAGTGATCCTCCTGCCTCAGCCTCCTGAGTGCTGGGGTTACAGGCGTGCGCCACCATGCCTAGCAAGAGTTTTTAATACTAAAATGTGATGATTATCTTTGACTGAAATCAAACCCAAATGTAAAAATGAATGTAGGTTTCATTTTGTTCTATTTGTATTGTATGTTAATCTATTAACGTGTAAAAAGCAAAGGATTGATGTTAAGAGTAGGATTTCTTTTCTCCCTTCTCTTCTCTCCTTGTCTTATTCTATTTTTTCATCACACAGGCCATGCTCATGTAATCCTTCTGGCAGCACAGATGAATGTAATGTTGAAACAGGAAGATGTGTTTGCAAAGACAATGTTGAAGGCTTCAGTTGTGAGAGGTACCTCATTCTTTCTGCAGCTGTGTGGTGTTTTGCTTGTTACCATATTTCAAGGCTAAAAAGTAACTGATTGTGTCTTCATCTTTTTCAGATGCAAACCTGGATTTTTTAATCTGGAATCATCCAATCCGAAGGGTTGTACGCCCTGTTTCTGCTTTGGACATTCTTCTGTCTGTACAAATGCGGTTGGCTACAATGTTTATGACATATCTTCTACTTTTCAGATTGGTAATTTTAACCTTACCCTTCCATCTCTAGAACTCTGAGACCACATTAAAATGTGCATATGTTTTTTTGAATCAGTAACCTCAAGGATTTTTTTGCTGGTGGGAAAATTTCTTGTTATTTAATGTGCATGATTCTTATTTGATCCTTTATTGAAAACGTACATATTTGTGTAGAATTTAGTGTAGTGATCACTGAGTACCAATACTATATAAATAAGAATATAATACAGCTCACAGGGTGTACCATATATAGGAACTGTTGTAGAAGCCACTCATTCAACATCCTTTATTGTTGGTGTTCTGTAAACAAGGTGCAGTCTTACACATTTTGTCACATATAGAGGACCTGGGTTCAGAATGTGTACAGTGTAACAGTTCTTGTATTCCCACTCTTTGCCTGCAGGTGAGGATGGGTGGCATGTAGAACAGAGAGATGGCTCAGCAGCATCTCTGGAATGGTCCTCTGAGAGGCAAGATATCTCTGTGATCTCAGATAGCTACTTCCCTAGGTACTTCAGTGCCCCTGGTAAGTGAGGCTGGAAACCACTGTGACATCCTGGGTGCTTCTCTTTAGTTTCATTCTCACATTCTTGCCCACCATTGTGTCTGCATTCCAGCAAAGTTCTTGGGCAATCAGGTGCTGAGTTATGGTCAGAACCTCTCTTTCTCCTTCCGAGTGGACCGACGAGACACACGCCTCTCTGCAGAAGACCTCCTGCTTGAAGGAGCTGGCTTGAGAGTGTCTGTGCCCTTGATTGCTCAGGGCAATTCCTATCCCAGTGAGACCACTGTGAAGTATGTCTTCAGGTAAGACCGTCATCTTTGTAAAAGCATTTTGGATTTGTATTGCAAAAGTCCCTTTTTTTGCCTAAGTTTATGTTAAAGAAAAACTTCTAGGTTGTTATGGTAGCTTTGTGAAAGGGACCTTTCCTTTGTTTCCTTTTTTCTTTTCCAGTTCTCTTTGACAGTTGTACTATCAACCCAGTGATCTCCTTTCTGATTTGATTAGATTATCAGCATCTCATTGTTGGTGGCACAAATGAGAAATTCCTTCCTGTACCTGGAATCAACATTACAGAAGTTAATGAGGCCCCTTTTTTCTCTCCAGGCTCCATGAAGCAACAGATTACCCATGGAGACCTACTCTTACCCCTTTTGAGTTTCAGAGGCTCCTAAACAACTTGACTTCTATTAAGATCCGTGGAACATACAGTGAGAGAAGTAAGTAATGATGTAATTCAAGAGAATTGTTTAAAAAGATGATTAGTTAGAAGGATACATGGTAATGCAAAAGTTGATCTCTTCTAATGCTGTAACACTGATCCAAAAGGAATAATATAAACTACCACATTGTACATGAATTATGTATAAAAGTAATGTATTAACAAAAACTACTATCATAGGCCTGAAGAAAATTTTTGAAAATTAGTAAATAGTATTTTATAATTAATAAGCCATTTTCTAATTACATTTCTAGTGGACAAATGAAGCTCGTGGCTGATTTTCTCTGGAATATTGGATGATTGGGTGTGGTGACTCTTGTTATTGACTTTTCACAAGCTTTTGAAAAATGAAAGGTTCCTCAGTAATTCTCCTTTCCACCCTGTACACAGGTGCTGGATATTTGGATGATGTCACCCTGGCAAGTGCTCGTCCTGGGCCTGGGGTCCCTGCAACCTGGGTGGAGTCCTGCACCTGCCCAGTGGGATATGGAGGACAGTTTTGTGAGATGTGCCTCTCAGGTTACAGAAGAGAAACTCCGGGTCTTGGACCATATAGTCCTTGTGTGCTTTGTACTTGCAATGGACACAGTGAGACGTGTGACCCTGAAACAGGTGAGAAGATGATCCTTGGCCACTGCTGGGTCTGATTTCTCTTTAGCAGCTGAGAAAGAGATGCTCATTGTCTTATTAACTTGTACACTCATCTCACACCTGTTTTCCAAATAGGTGTGTGCAACTGCAGAGACAACACGGATGGTCCCCACTGCGAGAAGTGTAGTGATGGCTACCATGGAGACCCAACCGTGGGTACCTTCTCTGACTGCCAGCCTTGTCCATGTCCTGGGGGCTCAAGTTGTGCTGTTGTCCCCAAGACAAAAGAGGTAGTGTGCACCAACTGTCCGGTTGGCACCACTGGTGAGTTGGCCTGCATTTTCCATCTTCTAATAGACATGGGGAGAAGCGACTTTGGTTTTGTCTTGTCTTTTTTTTTTTTTTTTTTTTTTTTTTTTTTTTTTTTTTTTTTTTTTTTTTTTTTTTTTTTTTTTTTTTTTTTTTTTTTTTTTTTTTTTTTTTTTTTTTCCCTTTTTTTTTTTTTTTTTTTTTGAGACAGGTCTCACTATGTAGTTGAGACTGATCTGGAACTCAGTGTGTAGCCCAGGCTGATCTCGAACTCACAGCGAGCCTCCTGCCTCAGCCTCCCAAGTGCTGGTATTACAGGCATGTGCCATTTAAAAAAAAAATTTAAATCATTTACAGTAAAAGCACATTGTGATTAATCCTTCTCAGAATACTGTCTCAGTTCAAACACATTACCCCATCATCTTTAGAACTTTTTGAAGAAGTTTTGGAAGTCCTTTCCTGTCCTTAGGAGCTGTGGTTAAAAATGTGGTGAATGTTGCTGCCTGCTGAATGCCGTCCAATGGAAAGACAGGCTCATAAAGACATTATGTTGTGCCCTTATCCACCAAATCTGGTACTGTGCAATTTCTGGTTCTTCCTCAAAGTCAAAATGAGCATGAAAAATAAATGTTTTGTATTGATTCAGGATGTCAAGGCAGCCATGACAACTCAATCACTCTAAAAATATTTCCTTTCACTTCAAATACACTAGAGTGATCAATGAAAATGTGTCTTTTACTATAATACTTTTTTTTTTTGAGATAGGGTCTCACTATGTAGTTGAGACTGACCTGGAACTCAGTATGTAGCCCAGGCTGGTCTTGAACTCACAGCGATCCTCCTGCCTCAGCCTCCTGAGTGCTGGGATTAAAGGTGTATGCCACCACACTTGGCTACTATAATACATTTTAAAAATGAACATTCACCATAGTTTAGAAGCCTCCTGAGCTGGGATTAAAGGTGTATGCCACCACACTTGGCTACTATAATACATTTTAAAAATGAACATTCACCATAGTTTAGATCACGTAGGTTAATTGTGGATTCATGAAATGTGTATCAGATTACTAATAATAGCTAATATATATTTATGGCCAGGTACTATTTTACACCTGTTCCATGTACTGCCTCATTAATCCTCACAACCCTTTTATGTAAGTTCTGTCATTACCTTGTGATAACCAAGAAAACTGAGACACAGGGACATTAAATTTCACATCCAAGGCTGCATGGCTACTCACTGTGACGCTGCAGAGATAATAATGGCTACAATATGTTCTCTTTCATAAAAAGAGAACCTAAACTTGATTTTTAGTTTGTGAGGCTTTCAATTCTTGATAAAAAGTAATAATTTTAAAATTTTTTCTCTAAATAGTCCTCTCAGTATACCATCACATTTAGTTGGGAAAATAAATTCATCTTTATGTTCTTTTTCAAAAGAGCATAAAATGAGCTCTTTCCTAGTTACTACAACAACTGCCTATGCCGAGCTACAGAGGAGACTGAGGGTCCAGAGGCCACCTTTGTCTTCCATCAGCTTCACCGAGAGGTTCTGGCTGGGCTTCTATTACATCCTGGATTCCACTGCAAGCTTCTTGTTAGAGGACCCTGGTACTGTAGTCATTAGGAGTCACCATCCTGGAGCTCCCACTGTCCTGATGACATCTAGCACAAGAGAACTGCAGCCCACTTTCAGTTATTTGCTTAAAGTAGTTGAGCAGATAGGGAACAGGAATTAGTGTAGATTTCATGTTGCTGACTTTGCTGTCTTTTTAAAATAAGATTTTTAACATAAATTTTTACATATTAATGGGGTGCCGAGTGACATAGTGATATATACATGCCTTGTGTCCTCCTTTTTAAAAAGCCATTTCCCAACAGAGTCCCACCCCAGCAGACTTCTGCAACCTTAGTCCTACCACCCATCCTGTACCTTGTTCTGCTTCAGCTCTGCTGGGCCTCAGTGCCTCAACGTCCTGGCCTCTATGCCTGCTGCAAGTTTTCCCTCTCTTTAGCCTGCTGTAGTCCCATTTCCTCCTCTCTCCAACTCGACCAGCTTCTGTCTGTTCTGTGGGGTTGAGTTGAAGCATCTCTTCTACAGTAAGTCTTTCCTGGATAAACCCACCCTACCTTACTATCTTAGATCACTAGGCTCCCTACACTGTTGCCACAGCACGGTTACAGTCCCACCTACAATATTTTCTCTTTGAAGCAATTAATAGAACATATTGATATAGATCCCTTTATTCATTCTATTGTTTTATGGGGTAGACTGCGGCCGTAAAACTAAATATTTAAGCATTTCTGAGACTCACATCTGTACTAAATAATATGAATGATGTACTGATACTATTTGGGGTGGTTCCTGGAAAGATGTAGAGTATATCTTGGAAAATGCTTTAAAAATATTTGTCACCAACCATATTTATCTCATATAAGACCTCTGATCTATATACTTGCTTTTCTTGGTTATCCTCTGGCTTGAAGGGAATGATGAATAGTAGTTCTTGAGGATATTAATTAGGAGGTAGAGGTCTGTATGAAAACATCATAGCATAAAAATAATGCTTAATTTTTTATTGTACTTTTAACTTTTTATTATCTGTCTCCTCTCTTTACTCTTCAACCCTGGTTTAACCACCATAGAGACAGAGGATTTTCTTTATACGCTTGTGAATAAAGAACATTGTTAAGCATGACTATTTGTTGAATGAAGGTGAATGTTTGCTGACTAAATGAAAGGAGATTCATTATAAGGAACATAAGGTATTCCTTGTTTAGGAGATTTTTCCAAGACTGTGAATAACTGATAGTTATTTAGCTCATCATACATAATCTTGTAAAAATGATCTTTGGAGATAAATGTTAATAATTCTTTTTTCAATAAACTTGAGTGTGTGTCTTTGGGAATAGAGAAAAAGGATGGTTCTTTTTCCTCAGAGGCTAAAATTATGGAGCGAAATACAGATCATTTTAATACAGCATGATTATTTCAGGTTAAAGAATGTACGTAAGGATGCTGAAGAAGAAAGAACGAAAGACATCTCTCCCAGTGGGGGAAAAGGAGATAAAGGAAACTAAGGCTGAAAAAAATGCATGTTGCCTGCTTAGCATCATATAAATAGTACAGCTAGGATTTAAACCTAGATCCTAGACTGTAAATTACAGGATAGACTAGCCACAGCTACCAAATCATGTTTTGGAGTGAATTTTTCACAGGCCATCAGGATCTCTGTTTTAGCTTTTCTACCTAATTTTACTTTTTATTCAAAGCAAGTATTAAAACTTTGAAAGTGTGGGTCATCTCTAGAATAGCTAAATTATCTGATGAAGAAAGCATAATTGGAATGCTACCTGAGTGCTAATCTGGAAATAGATTTGAGTGAGAATCTGGTGGCTGTATGCATCAGGGCCAGAGGGTCTCTAGTGTCTCATCCCCACCAACACCGTGTTTCTTCCTCTCCTGCCCCACCTCCACCTCCACCTCATCAGTCTGCATTTGTTAAATCCGGTGGTTAGTTTCAGTGCTCATCTTCCCCAGTCTCTCAGCTGCTCCAAACATTGTCTCCCCTTTCTTCTCGCCTTCTGTATCATTTCACTCCCCTTGTTTTCCTTCAACCTTTGCTCTCTTGGGTATCCTTCCATCACCTCTGCTGGTCAACTAGGGACTTTCAAGTCAAGCTCTCTGCATCTTTCCTTTAAGTGATCAGATCTCCTCTTTAGGATTGAAAAGCCTCTTGATGCCTGTAACTTCAGCATTTGTATTTTCAGTCCTAACGCCTCTCCCCTGAGCACCAATTACCTACTTACCAGCCTGCCTGAGTGGTAGGCTGGAAGTCTTTGCTTGCCCTTCCACATCCACTCTCTGCCTTTCTCCAAGCGATGAAACCTGTGTGTGCCACGTCACATCCCACCTCCATGGAGTTCAGATAACAGGAAGCACATAGAGGAGAACAGAGAGAAGGGGGTTAAGGACTGAGTATTTATTTCTCTGAGAATTCCTTTGGATTGGTGATGCTAAATCAGAGTTCTCAGCTCCTAGCAGTTGACCTTCTCCAAATAGCACTTTCTGACTTTGTTTCTAGTAATTGAGGTGCAGGCTGTGGAGCCTGTCCTATGCACTATTGTCCTTCTGGTTTCCTACACATTTACCTATACTTCTATGATAGCAGCACCTGTATTAACCTGGGTGGTTAATTTCTTCTGAAATGTGGGTCGAAACCTCCATGGTCCCACAACTCTTGTATTCTGTGTGCCTGTAAAACCAGCACCATGTGGATGATGCTAGGGTCTGTAACCAGTTTGAGCAGTAGCCAGGTTCCAGGTTCTTTTGCATCATGGCTGTTGTAGGGGCCTCTGAGTGTCTGTTTGTCTGAACCCTGAATGGAACCCCAGGAAGCCAATTTCCTAGGTGGCCTTTCTGGAGCAGGGTGCCCTGTGGCTCTCTTCCTAAAGCAGTCTTTTACTTTCTACTCTTGAGTCTTCTAAGAATGAGCCCTTTCACATTCCTCCAATGCCCTTAAGGTGTCCTTCTGTAAAGTACTTGGCTTCTTTTTTAGTACTAATCCTTTTAGCAACTGGACTTTTCTCTGCTCAAACTTTATAGGCCCTAACTTTACAGAACCGTTCTGGTGAGACTCAAAACTTTTAAAAACCACTCAGCTGTGCCACTTGTTCTTGATTCTCAATGTAGAGCTAGCTAAAAGCCCCCAGTAGTACCAGTGTCACAGCCTGAATGCTGGGCTGCATTCAGGTTTCCTCTGTCACATTAATTAATCCACCATCCTTAATCTCAGTCTCCCACAAAGTATCAGGACATGAGCAAAATGTAGACACATTTTCTGCCAGAGCATATCACACACGGCCTGGACTGCCATTTGAGTCCTTGTGCCCAGCTGAAACCTCCTGAGCCTAATCTTTACAATCTGCATTTCTATTAGCATTCTGGTCTTATGATCTGTAAGCCAAATCTCCTATCATACTCGGCTCACAGCATTCTAGGGTTCCTTTTCCAGCCAGCATTTCCAAACCTGTCCAATCTCCTGCAGAACCAGTCCCAAAGGCATCTGTTTAGGTACCAGGGATCAAACTTGGGTCCTTGTGCTTGCAAGGCACGTGGTGGAACCACTTAGCTAAATCCCCTGCCCTTTTTTAAGTATTCTTTTTTTGGGTACTGGTGATCAAACTCGGGTCCTTGTGCTTTCAAGGCAGGCGGCAGAACCTCTAGGCTAAATCCTTGGCCTTCCCAATGGCATCTGAATGATATGGTCAAGTAAAGCCATAGTTAGAACTCCCACTTCTCTAATGTCAAAATCTGTCTTAATCACTTTCCTTGTCACTAGAACAAAATATCTGTTAGTTAAAGGAGAAAGGGTTTATTTTGGTTCATGGCTTGTATAGGTTTCAGTCCATAGCTGGCTGGCTCCAAGGCAGAGCAACATGGTATAGCGGCATAGCTGAGGAATGGCTGCTCATGGGATGGCGATCAGGAAGCAGAGTGAAGGGAGGGGCCAACAGTGGGAGATTACCTTCCAAAAGCCCCACCTATGTGCCCCCTGGGGGATATCTAGATATAATGCATAACATGAACAAACTTCTGATTCTCTAGGAATTTTAGGCAAATGTAGGCCCTATTAGCTACAAAGATATCCAGTTTCAGTTAATGACGGTGCTGAAGTGGAGGAAGTAGGATGAGCAGTGAGTTCTGTGCAGTGGAAAAGAGCTCTGATTCTAGCTCTGCCTCTCTTCTGTCAGCTTGGTTGTGGGCAAGGTACTAATGTTTCTGTTGCTTTCTGTTCCAATAGAAACTGGTGGCAATGGATGATTTCTCAGAAATCATCTTTTCTAGAAATCTCTTTTCCTGTATTGGTTGACACAGCTGAACAAGAGGTAGTGGGTGCCTTTTATATGTTAAGGGCATTATCCTACTCACTCTGTTTGGGGAACTTACAGAGTCAAGAGTAGCATGTCATTTTTAAAAAATATTATCAGCTACACCAAGATATGAATGTGCCATTCCTTGGAACTGGAGGTTAATAAACCTTGAACCTGACTCATTTACAAAGTACGTTTTTTTTTTATACTGTGGATTGAACTTGGGCCCTTGCACTTATGAGGCAGGCACTGGAACCACTGAGCTAAATCTCCAGCCCTACAAAGTACTTTATTGCAAGGTTTTGGTTAGCTGTCAGAGTGTTTGAAGTGAGGTAGACAAACTGTGGTTATGTGTATTTTAAGAAGGAAACAGAGATGTGCTGGACATCTCTCCATTGATCTGACTCAGTGCCAGGGCTACAGCCCAGGTTCCTGCTGCCTTCCACTGCCCCATGGCACCTCACATCTGGAAAATACACTAGACTGCCTGTGGTAACTGAGCGCCAGAGATGTCCAAGGTCTTTCTTTCATAACAACTGTCTCATCCCCAGGTAAGAGATGTGAGCTCTGTGATGATGGCTACTTTGGAGACCCCCAGGGTAACAATGGCCCTGTGAGGCTCTGCCGCCCATGCCAATGCAATGACAACATCGACCCGAACGCAGTGGGAAACTGCAATCGCTTGACAGGAGAGTGCCTGAAATGCATCTATAATACTGCTGGCTTTTATTGTGATCGATGCAAAGATGGCTTTTTTGGAAATCCCTTGGCTCCCAATCCAGCAGACAAATGCAAAGGTAATCAGCCATTGGTCAGGTGCTTTATATGCCTTTATTCTGTGATTTATCTGAGTCTCTTAGAATACAGTAGTTCAGTCTAGTGCAGCACTGTCCAATAAAAATACAATACAATGTGACTTGCAGTTTTAAATTTGTAAAACTTAAAATTTTTTAGTCATCACATTAAAATAAAAGAAAGAGGAAAAAGTTAATATATTTTATTCAACCTAATATAGCCAATAAATTATTTTAATAAGTAACCAATAAAAATTATTAATGAAATGTATATCCTTTTTCCCCCCAGACGAAATCTTCAACATCTAACATTTATAGCACATCTCAATTCAGATCAGTCAGTTACATTTCAAATGCTTCCCAGCTGAATGTGACCAGGGGCTTCTGGGACAACACAAATGTAAAGAATCTGTTCATGGTTCATTTTTATTTAGCCTTCCTCTCTGATGATTTTCTCTGTGCTCTCTCTGTCTTCCTTCATAGCCTGCAGTTGTAACCCATATGGGACAGTCAAGCAGCAGAGGAGCTGCAACCCTGTGACCGGGCAGTGCGAGTGTCTCCCTCATGTGTCTGGTCGAGACTGTGGTGCTTGTGACCCTGGCTTCTACAACCTGCAGAGTGGGCAAGGCTGTAAGAGGTGAGACATCAGTGCGTTTAGTGGAAGCCATCTTTACTTTTTATATTGCAAGAAGTGAATTTTTGTAAGTCATAATAGTTGATTTTGTTCCAAATGATTTGAATACCTCATGCAGGAAATGCATCCTTCAAGGCCAACACTAGAGAATTGTAACTAAGATAATGGGACAAAAGAATGGAACACAGTGGCTCTACTTGTGTCAGAATCAGCTGAGCAACATTTTTAAAGTAAAATTTACAAGGTTCTTTCTGGGATGCTTCGAATCATACCCTTCTGGATTACAGCCCGGGAAGTCTGAGTGCCTGATTGGTGCCGCTACAGTAATAGTTTATCATACCAGTGGTGGTGTTAGTCTCAAAAAAGAGGACCTGAATAGCACTCATAGAAGTTTCTTGAATTTTGAGGGCTTAGTAACCTTTTACATTCTGTTGTCATAACCCTTAACATACTGTTTTCTGATTAAGATTACACCAGTACTGTGCTGAAAAAACAACACAACTTTTGCTTAAAGTCTATTTTTCTTACCTTAGAAATGTCCTGTGTTTATTTTCAGGTGTAACTGCCATGCTTTGGGTTCGACCAATGGGCAGTGTGATATCCACAGTGGCCAGTGTGAGTGCCAGCCTGGCATCACCGGTCAACACTGTGAGCGCTGTGAGGTCAACCATTTTGGGTTTGGACCTGAAGGCTGCAAACGTAAGGCATACTGTTGGCATGCAACCCTGAGGCTTTTCTGATTCTAGTTAGAACAGACTTTGACAACCTCTAACTAGCCACCTGGCTCACAGTCCGGGCTTACCTGAGTCATCAGGGATGCTCTCTTTCACGACATAATGCTCTTTTTCTGAAACTCTGGAAATCAAGGACTTTTCTGATTTCTTTTCAACCACCTTATTTGTATTTTCTTTTATGGTGTTTTCGAATCTTCCTTTTTTCCAAACGAGAATCTCCCTTTGATTATTGAGTTTTCCCCATGTTTAACAAAACTTTATTGATTGCATTCCTAGTGGAAAGAATGAAACAGGGAAGGATTCTTTTGGGTTGTGTTTGTTGACTTACTGGCTGCAGTTGCTTCCCACCCTTGGGGCCCTTTTGGTACGATTGCGTATAAACATCTGCTTCTCCTTGGCATAAACACTTGCCTGGAATTAGGCCTCAGAACAGTTTGGTGGTGTTGCTTTCTGAATTCCTTCATTTCTCCTGTGGAATGTAGCAAAAGTAATTTGCTCAGCTCAGAGAACAAAGTGCGTAAACAAATTGTAAAATAATGCAAGAGAGCATTATTAAAGCATTTAGGCTTTCTGTCCTTAGAGGAGTACTAAGCATAGGATAGTCCAAGGTAGAGATGAATTCCTAGAGTGCATGGAAAGGGCACTGATTAACTTAATGACTTCTGTAACTATTAAGTAATGTGAAATGTGCCCCAGAGGATGGACATTTTATTTTAAAGCTTATTTTTACTTTAAAAATATGTCTTCTCTGCTAAGGGAACCTAGCCATTTAACCTCTCATAAATAAACCAACCTGCCTGCCTACCTTCCTTCCTTCCTTTCCTCCCTTCCTTTCTTCTTTCTTTTCTTTCTTTTCTTTTTTTTTAAGTTTACTTATAATGATTACAATCAGTTTATTGTTATGAGTCTTGAATAAAGAAAACAAAATGCACCTTTTTTACTTAGCTGCATACTATTTTCCCCTGTTCTGCAGCTTGTGACTGTCATCCTGAGGGGTCTCTTTCACTTCAGTGTAAAGATGATGGTCGCTGTGAATGCAGAGAAGGCTTTGTGGGAAACCGCTGTGACCAGTGTGAAGAGAACTATTTCTACAATCGGTCTTGGCCTGGCTGCCAGGAGTGTCCAGCGTGTTACCGACTAGTGAAGGATAAGGTAAGCTGTCAGCCATGCATTCATTCACTCAGTGGACATTGACTGGAAACCTACTGTACACTAAGCTTCAGAGACACAGTGGTGAACCAGGCAGATATGGGCCCCATTCTCAAAGACTGTGTTCCGGTTTGGAGGCAAAAAATATAAATAAATAAACAAACAAACATTGAGATAAATTCCAGAAAGAATAACAAGTGGAGAATAACTGGGAAATAATACTCAATAAAAGGGCCCGCTAAGGAAATTCCTATGTAATGCGCTCATAAGGATGAGAAGGACTGAGCCACATAAGAAGTAATGGCAGGTTGTTCCACGCAAAGGGAACTCATATACAAGGCCTGGAAGCTACAGTGTGGCTGGAGCCTGCTGAAGGGAGAGTAGTTTATGATAAGACTGGAACGTTTGGTAGGGTCAGGTTACGGAGGACCATGCTGAAAGTAATAAAGAATTTGTGTCTTACCTCTAATCTAAGGGAAATGTACTGAAGACACTCTTACAAGTTTAGAAATCTAGTTTGTTTTTTAAGAGTAGTAGACTGCTCTATAAAGAATGATGGAAGTAGAGCAAAGGAGGAAGCCTTGATTGGGTTGGATTGGGATTGGGAAAGAGAAGAATTAGGATGGGTCTTAGGTTTTTTGCTTAAGGTAGCTAGAGACATTTTCTTCCGAGATAACCCAGGGAGAACAGGTTTAAGAAATACAAATTTGGATATTGAGTTTAAGATTCTTATCAGAGAGCCCATTAGAGAAATTAAGGCAGCAATCCAATATTCAAGGGAATGGTCAGAATTGAAAAATTGACAGAAGCAGTGTTTAAAGTCAAAGGAACGGTCCTGAAAGCTTTCTTTTGAAGTTAGAGAAATAAAGAAAAACTACCTTTGTCACTGTTTATAGGTAGACATGTGGAGTGTGCAAACCTACCTATTCATAGAGTGCCCCTGTCATTCCTACAGGAAGTACTGTTGAGTTCTTTCCCTTTTTTATTCCTCCACATATTTAGGTTGCTGATCATCGAGTGAAACTCCAGGAATTAGAGAGTCTCATAGCAAACCTTGGGACTGGGGATGAGATGGTGACAGATCAAGCCTTTGAGGACAGACTGAAGGAAGCAGAGAGAGAGGTTATGGACCTTCTTCGTGAGGCCCAGGCTGTCAAAGGTACATGCAAGTAAACTGTGGGTGGGTAAATCTGCAGTGTGGCTCCTATTCAAAGTTAATTAGTATAGTTTTATAAGTTTCTTTCTCACTTTTTAAACAACTTGCAGAATATAAATTACTTTCTTTTTCAAACAATATTTTGAAAGCCAAAACATCAGCTTAATGCTTTAAGATACGATAAACAGAAGATAATTTTCCAACATATCAAAAATGTTTGGGCTGGGGATTTAGCTTAGTGGCACCACTCCCGCCTCACAAGTGCAAGGTCCTGAGTTCGATCCCCGGTACCAAGAAAAAAAAATTGATGTTCAAATTAGAAATGTTTTATAAATCTGTTCTGTATATTTTTCTGGTGATTAGTGATGTTGATCCTTTTTTTCATATACTTGTTGGTTGTTTGTATGTCTCCTGAAAATGTCTATTTAGGTCTACTGTCCATGTTTTAAGTCAGGTTATTTGGGTTTTTGCTATTGAGTTTTTGGAGTTCCTTACATTTTTGTATATCAATCCCTTGTTAGATAAGTAATTAGCACATACTTTTTCTCATTCTGTAGGTTATTTCTTTTTTTGTTGTTTGTTTGTTTGTTTTGCTACCGGGGATTGAACTCTGGACCTTGTGCTTGCTAGGCAGGCAGCAGAACCACTGAGCTAAATCCCTAGCCTGTCTGTAGGTTATTTCTTGCCTTTGTGCTGTAGAAGTTTTTAGTTTGATATAATTCCAGTTGCTTTTGTTTGCATTCAGATGTCCTAAAGTATTTCTTCTGTGTTTTCTTCTAGCAGTTCGTTGTTTCAGGTCTTACATTTAAGTCTTTAATTCATGAGTTGAATTTTGAGTCCAGTTTCATTCTTCTGCATGTGAATATTCAGTTTTCCTAACACATTAATTGAAAAGACTGTCCTTTTCTCATGTATGTTCTTAGCAACACTGTTGAAAGTTGGTTCACTGTAGATACGTGAGTTTACTTCTCGGTTCTCTATTCTGTTCCAGAAGCTGGTCAATTTTGAGGGTTGCTTAATGGGTTTTGTGTATGAAAATGTAATACTGACTGGCTTACTTTTGCTTGCACTTTTATCTTTTGCTTTTTCAGGACCAAAGCATATGGTTTAAATTTAATGGACATAATTAATAAAGGACCATTTGAAAAACTATTTAGAAGCAGATAGCAGTTTGAAAAAAAATTACATAAATATGCAAAGTGGAGGGATAGTCCAAAAGTCTACTTAAAATACAAAATTAGTTGAATTTGCCATACTTCAACATCTGTTTTAAACATAGATTTTTCTAAGTTTTTAAATATATTTAGCTTTCAGGACTTGCAGCATTATTATTATTATTATTTTTTTTTTTTTGGTTTTTTGAGACAGGGTCTCACTATGTAGTTGAGACTGACCTGGAACGCACTATGTAGCCCAGGCTGATCTCAAACTCACAGTGATCCTCCTGCCTCAACCTCCCGAGTGCCGGGATTACAGACGTGCACTAGCAAGCCCAGCTGTATAAGAAATTTTTAAAGATGGTTTTCTTTTCCGTGTCACCAAGATGTACTGACCGTACATCAAATTTGCAGCATTTTTAACAACTTTTTATTTTTATGATTAAATCTGACATGTGCTGGAATATCAAAATCAATCTCTCCTTTATCAGACATTCCTCACTTGTCTTCTCTTTGTCAACCCTATGTAAGACTGTCGATTTATAGTGATGAGTAGAAAGAGGGACTTGCCAGGCTTGGTGGCTCATGCCTTTATAGGCACTCTGGGAGGCCGAGGCAAGGAAGATCACAAGTTTGAGCTCAACCTGGTCAATTTAGTGATCCTGCCTCAGCCTTCTTAGCAATTTAGTTAGACCTTGTCTCAAAATAAAAAATGGGCTGGGGATGTAGCTCAATGTAAAGGCCCTGAGTTCAGTACCTAGTAGAAAAATAGACAAAGAAAGGGCTTCATAGTTAAGTGGGCCAGAGAAACATACAGTTGGAGCCTGGTGTGAAAAATGTAGCAGTGAAAGTGTGATGAGGGGGCATTGAAAATTTGTCACAAAGAAGCTGTTTTGGAAAGTAAAAATACACAGTGCCTCAGATTTCATGAAGGATGTTAGTCCCCCCTCAGATAATTTATGGACTGTCTTCTGCAATTCAGATGTAGATCAAAACTTGATGGATCGACTTCAGAGAGTGAATAATACCCTGTCCAGCCAGGTTAGCCGTTTACAGAACATTCGGAATACCATTGAAGAGACTGGGAGCTTGGCTGAGCAGGCACGGGCCCGAGTAGAGAACACAGAGCATCTGATTGAAATCGCTTCCAGAGAACTGGAGAAAGCGAAAGTCGCTGTTGCCAATGTGGTAAGTGATTGGGAAGTTCTAGGGGAAAGAGTTGGGGGAGCCCTTTGATCATTTGTTTTTGTTTTTGTTTTTTTGGTACCGGGGATCAAACTCAGGTCCTTGCGCTTGTGAGGCAGGCCACTGAACTGCTGAGCTAAATCCCTCGCCCAATCATTTGTAGTAAGGCTGTTCATGGCAGTGGAGTGGTTTTTTGGTTTCTCCTTTCTTGCTCTGCAGAAGAAGAAAACCACATTGCTCATGTTCATCATGCAACAAGACAGAATAAAAATTGGCTTGGTGTGGTAGTCCATGCCTTAGGTTAGAATTATTCAGCCCGTAGGCTTAATTAAATTAAGCCTTAGGTTAGAATTTTAGCCAGTGTCCACAGCAATTATATTGACTTCTTACTTTCACTTGTGCTACTTTTCTATTTTGTGTAAATGTAAACCTGTAAGTATATAATCTAGTTTTAGAGCATTCATGGTTTGATAGCTGGATTTTCTTGTGAAAAGAAGATAACGGAACACATTATGAAAACTCCCAAGAAAACCAAGTCTTGGAGATAAATTAGTTCTGGTGAGCTTTGTATAAGAATTTGGAACAAAAGTTTACCATGACAAAAGGAGGCTGACAGAGGAGAATTGCTGTGAGTTTGAAGCCAGCCTGGGTTACATAGTTCAAGGCCAGCCTGAACTACACAGAAAGATCATCAGAAAACAAAAACAATTTTTAAAAAAACCCTATGGGCATCTAGGTTTTTTGTTTTTGTTTTTCCATTTTGTTCCTTCATCGGTACTCAGCAATTTCATTTTCCTTTATCCTTCACTGAAAATAGCAATAATTTACAGTGAAAAGTGTTGATATTAAATAAAGACCTCTGAAAATAAGCATTCTCTTTTGCTTCCAACACTAATAAAAAGTTAGTTTTGACCCTTGCTTTGTGAAATTTAAAACCGTTTAGTCCTTTCAGACTAAATGCTTTTATTTCCTCTTCAGTCAATCACTCAACCAGAGTCAACTGGAGACCCAAACAACATGACTCTCTTGGCAGAGGAGGCCCGAAAACTTGCAGAACGGTAACACGCTGACCCCCCAGCTAGCTGTCAGGTGTAGCTTGCCTTATGCATGTGTGTTCCTGCGTCATCTCACAAACACTTTCCACTGCACGGTTTGCTCTCCTTTTTGCAATGTATTCTGTTTTCCTTTTACTTTGAAATTAAATATTTGTTTTATTAGAATGCGATTATTTTGAAGTGCAATTATATTTGCATATCTCAAAACCACACCATTTTTAGATTTTTAACTTCAAAACCTTAAAGTCATTAGGTTTCTGAGAAACTCTGTAGAATTTAATTAATTTAAATTTTTATATCTGTCAATAAAAATGTACAATTTTCAAATCTCAATAGAAAATATTGCTAGCCTATAGTATATTTGAAATTAAGCCAAAGGAAAGACTGACCATTTTCATTCTTGAGTTTTTAAAGATTTTTTTTTAAAATAAGATAATCTCTTTGGAAAGTTTTAAATTATAGAAGTTTTCAAGTTAAAAAGATCTTAGAAAATAAAATTGCTGGAATATAGGCTCCATTAGGGCAGGCATTTTTGTGTATTTCACGCACTACTAAAGCACCAGGGCCTGGCCTGTGGGAGGTATTCAGTAAATGTTCGTTGACTAAATTGTAGAACAGTTAGTAGACCTTATGGATAAGGTTTATAAATTAAGCCTTAGGTTAGAATTTTAGCTACAGTGTCCACAGCAATTATATTGACTTCTTGCTTTCACATGTGCTACCTTTCTATTCTGTGTAAATGTGAATTTGTAAGCTATATAATCTAGTTTATAGAGCATTCATGGTTTGATAGCTAAATTTTCTTGTGAAAAGAAGATAATGGAACACATTATGAAAACTCCCAAGAAAACTAAGTCTTGGAGATAAATTAGTTCTGGTGAGCTTTGTACAAGGATTTGGAACAAAAGTTTACCATGCCAAAAAGAATGGCCACATATTGTAGTTTGACAGTGTCCTGCATTGCAGTGCTATAACATGAAATTTTAGAAATGGAAAAACCCTTAGTATTTACCCAGCTCAATGCATTATTCTAGAGTCTCTTGACATATTCATTGCAATTTGGTGTTGAGGGGCTTTTCCTGCCAGTAATCAGGTTGTGAAAAGTCTTGAGAAGTCCTACTGTTTTAAGACTATGTAGCAACTGAGCTAGACTAGCAGATTATTAATAATAACAATTTGTCCTGAGATTTGTGTTATGAGTAGATAAATGATTTCTTGTTAGCATGCACAGTTTTACTGGTAAATTACTCTTAATTATGTTAAATATAAAGATTTATTCCTATAAATTTTATATCACTAATTTATGTGGACAATATCCATTCTCAGTTTATCTTCGTAAACTTAGCCCACAAAAATGATGGCAAAGTTCTAAATTATTGAGATTTTTCAGTATTTTTAGATTTCTGCCTCCTTTGGTTTATACAGGGTCTTCCCCCACAAATGTTATCTTCGTTACTTTTCTTCATTGGTGAGAATGAAATACCTGAAACCAAAATTAAAGGAGGAAAGGTTTATTTAGTTCACAGTTTAAAGATGTCGATGGCCATACCATCTTGAACATGCCCAATCTCTGATCTCAGAAGCTAAGCAGGGTCGGGCCTGGTTAGTACTTGGATGGGGAGTTCACAGTTTATAGAAGTTTCAGTCCATAATTGGCTGGCTGCAAGACAGGGTGGCATTCCAGACAGGCACTGCAGAGCAGAAACAGTTCATGGTGGGCAGAAGGTAGCAAAACAAGCAAGTGACAAACTACAAGTAACTAACAGCAAGCCTCTTTCTGTCCCTTACATTGTATCCAGGCTGCCCTCCCTTGGGGGGATAGCGCTCACAGCCTTAATCCTAGCATTGCACCATGAATTAGTCACACACTGTAGCTTCAGCCACCTCTGAAAAAGCCTCACCTATGACTGTATGAGGCTTTGGGGGGACATCTAAACACAAGCCATAACAAATACATAATCAGGAAAAGAAAAACTTGTGTAATTATTTTAATATTAAATTTATTGAGACCTCAAGGGGTTAATGCAAGTTACCTTTGTCCTCTGCAATTATAAAAGGTTCTCAAAGTGGTGGCCATTAGTTCCAGACATTTATTAGTATGGTAAACTGTTGAAGTGTACATGCACTGTTTTGGGCAGATTCTGTATAATAAAATAAAAGTTACCTAAATTTTACTTCTTTCCCTATGAGATGGTCTACTTCATGATTTACTTTTTCTCTTTCATGTATAGCCATAAACAAGAAGCTGATGACATTGTACGAGTGGCAAAGACAGCCAATGATACATCTACTGAGGCTTACAATCTGCTTTTGAGGACCCTGGCAGGAGAAAATCAAACAGCATTTGAGATTGAAGAGCTTAATAGGAAGTGAGTATAATTTAAAAGTGGCTCACTGCCCTTTCGATATTGTTGTAAGTAACACCAGTTCAATAAAGAATTAAATGATGTGGATTCGGGGTATGCATTCATGTAATAAGATTTCTTTTATTAATCATGCTTTTGAAATAGAAAACTGATTAGAGCAGGGACTATGGAGCCACAGAGATTTTTTTTTTTTTGATCCACTTACAGTAACTGGAGAATGGTAACAAGGTTAGTCATGGTGCTTAAAATTCTGCATAATTAAAAAATGACAAAATACGATATAGAGAAAACATACTTGAACTACAGATCTTTAATGAGGTCTAGAATAAGAAATTACAAGATGAGGATCCCTTATCTGAAATGCTTGGTACAAGAGTTTTGAATACTGGACTTTTTTCAGACTTGGGGATATTTGCAGACACATAATGAGTTATCTCACATGAGGAACTCAAGTCTAAACACAAAATTCACCTATGTTCTTCTATACTTTACAAACATATAGCCTGAAATTTCACGTAATATTTTTGGTGTTCCTGCATTTGACTGTGCCTGTGTTTTCACTTATGGCACCATTTTGGTACTCAAAGTTTTAGATTTTTCAGCATTTTAAATTTAGGGGTCAGAAATGCTCAACCTATATAGGGCACACAGTATGTTATAAGCATAAGTGCTGAGAGGACATGTAAATTTCAGCTAAATGTTGGTATTAAATGAAAGGTTTTTTTTGTTTGTTTGTTTTTGTTTTTGATGCGGGGATTTTAAGACAGGGTCTCATCATGTAGTTGAGACTGACCTGGAATTCACTATGTAGCCCAGGCTAGTCTCGAACTCACAGCGATCCTTCTGCCTCAGCCTCCTGAGTGCTGGGATTATAGGCGTGCACCACCATGCCTGGCATAAATGAAAGCATTTTAATGTAACATTTCCTTTCAGGTTTCAGGTAGAGGACTGTAATATTGAGTGTGCCCAAAGCAGGCTGTAAAGAGTTAAGCCCACAATTGGCTTGTTTATAGAAGTGAGTCTGGCTGAAGCCTACATACCAGGATCAGAGTAACTTGCACCCAAATTCTGTTCCCGCAACTCAAACTTTCTGCCTAGAAGGACAGTATTCTAATTATAACCACATATTTTATCTATTCTATTCCTAATTCGAGAATGCTTTATCTTGTCCTTTATGAGCCCTGTTTACATTAATTTCCAAAGAAACCACACATTGCCTTTACCCCAATTAATTGCCAATAAAAGTCAGTGCCTGGGACTGGCCAGGGCCTTTGTCAGTTGCATGGGCTTGGTTGTCCTCACACCCTGCTTTCTACCCTAGTTCTGTCTCCTAATGTATTTTTTTCTCAGGCTTTTATTAAATCATATAATTTGTTCCTAAGGTATGAACAAGCAAAGAATATCTCACAGGATCTAGAAAAGCAAGCTACCCGTGTTCTTGAGGAGGCCAAGCGGGCTGGTGAAAAAGCTGTGGAGATCTATGCCAGTGTGGCCCAGCTGGCCCCTGTGGACTCAGAGGCCCTGGAGGTATGTACCTGTGCTGGCTGTCACCAGTGCTATCATACATGTCCCCACCCCTCTAGTCTCTGTAAGAGCCTGTCTGATGGCCTGCGTCCCCCCATCAGCCCTTCAGCTGGCTCACTGAGTTGTTTTAAATACACCAGTAGAACTCATCAAGGTAAAAAATCTTGCTATAATTTAATGTTAATAACTATAAAGATTATTATTAACATTAAATAGTAAGGAGTACTTTGGTGATATGAGTATCTCGAATCTTCCATATATACCTAAATTATAAAGTATTGGAATTACTTAAAACACAATAATACATATAGACCCTTATCCCAGACACTGTGTGCTGGATACTTGGGAAGCAATAAAAAAGGATGGTTTAAGTGAAAGAAGTGTATCAAGATGCTCTAAGGTAGGTCAAACATCTGGGGGTTGGTAGTATTTTATTTTAGATCTGTACTCTGATTATGGTTCCTATACAAATCCATGTATAAATGTATTTTTGCATTAAAAATTAGACTTGGAATTTGCTGTCTTACTTTGTCTTTCACAGTCTATATTTTTCACTATATCTTTCAATATTTCACTTTTTTCGGGGGGGGGGTACCGGGGATCGAACTCAGGACCTTGCGCTTAAAAGGAAGGTGGCAGAACCACTGAGCTAAATCCCCGGCTCAATATTTCATTTCTGTGCATGAGGAGTTGACATCCTGAGGGTTTTTAGATCTCTTCAGATATATACATACTGTCTGATTCCGTGTATTTTAAATTGAAAATACTCAAGACTTCCATGATAACCATCAGAACAGTGGCAGCTTCAGGAGGGGAGATGGGGAGACAGGCTTGGCATGATGGAAATACTGTGTCTTGATTGAGGTATTGACTACATAGATACATATATTTGTCGGAACTCGTCAAACTGCATGTAAACACAGAATTGTACTGTGTGTAGAGTATACCTCAATTTAAAAATAAAGGTGCACAGGGAGACAGCCCACTTTCTGGTCCCCCTTCTGTCTCTCTTAGAGCTTTCTTTCTCTCAATAAAATTCCTACACTTAAAAAAAAAAGTGCACAAAATCTTGATCTGTGCTATTCTCTTAAAAAAAATCAACTCAACATTAAGTGTCATAGTTCCCACATTGCTTTTCATTGGTTTTTTTCATTTAAAATGTAATAATATTACTTGCTTTTTCATAGAATGAAGCAAATAAAATAAAGAAAGAAGCTGCTGATTTGGACCGTCTGATTGATCAGAAGTTAAAGGATTATGAGGACCTCAGAGAAGACATGATTGGGAAGGAATTGGAAGTAAAGAAACTTCTGGAGAGTGGAAAAGTTGAACAGCAGGTTGGTTTGATTTTCAGCTTGCTTCACTTCTTGAGGCAAAGTGAAACCATCATGGTAAAGCGGTGTTTCGCACGGAGCCAGCATTGCCGAGATGGCAGTCATAGAGTGCTCGGAGGTGGCCTGTGCTGACACCAGGGCCCAGCATGCCGTGTGCTGCAGAGCCTCCAAGATGTCTGTCAGGAGAGGGCAGGGGCGGCTTTGGAGGGTTTTTCTGACCTGCTGTGCCTTTGCAGACTGCCGACCAACTCCTGGCCCGTGCTGATGCCGCCAAGGCTCTTGCTGAAGAAGCTGCTAAAAAGGGACGAAATACTTTACAGGAAGCCAATGACATTCTCAACAATCTGAAAGGTATGAGAGAGTCAGGTAACGAGTATATTGTTTGTTTCCTCTGTTCTCTCTCTCTCTCTCTCTCTCTGTGTCTCTCTGTCTCTCTCTCTCTCTCTCTGTCTCTCTCTCTCTCCTCTTTCTTCCCCTGTCTTTTTAGTGTTAGCATGATATTCTTCAAACACACATAAAGTGAAATATACCTACTAGATTTAACAGTTACCAAGATTTTTACCATACTTCGTTAACACCTTACAGTTTGTTGTTACTATGGGCAGCAAACCTGGGGCTTCACCTCTGGTGGGCAAGTGCTCTACCACTAAGCCACATCCCTGGTCCCATCCTCCATTTTTTTATGATGAAGTATTTCTTTTTTGGTTTTTTGAGACAGGATCCCACTGTATAGTTGACACTGACCTGGAACTCACTATGTAGCCCAGGCTGGTCTCGAACTCACAGCGATCCTCCTGCCTCAGCCTCCCGGAATGCTGGGATTACAGGTGTGCACCACCATGCCTGGCCTTGAATAGCTTTTTTTTTTGTTTGTTTTGTTCTTTTTGGTATGATGAAGTATTTCTAAGAAAATCCTAGTGCAGGGCGGGGATTTAGTTCAGTGGTTCCGCTGCCTGCCTTGCAAGTGCAAGGTCCTGAGTTTGATCCCTGGTACCCCCCACCAAAAAAAATCCTAGTGCGTACATTTTACTCCTTACGTACTTCAATATGAAAACCACACAAAGGCATTTGGAATAACCCATGTAACCCAGATCTGCCTATTTGGCCAACTTAACATTGGTAAATGGAGATTAGTAGCCTTTCTCTAGAAAGACAATGACATTTAATTCTTTGTTTTTCTCTTTCTTCACCCTACATGGAAAAGAAATGCCTGAGTTTATACCCCTGCTCCACAAGGAAACCTCTGTAGTTGTCAGTTTCTCTCATTTATAAAAATGATACAGTGCCTGCATCACAGGGACATAAATGCATTAGTTCCGTGCCTGACACACCATAAACAAAACGTAAATGGGAGCTTTCTGTAGCACTTGAGGTGGTAATAACAGCATACTCACTGTTCTGCCTCAAAGCAAATTTTTAAGTAAGAATTCTCTTTCTTGAAACGTGTATGTCATCAGACTATTCCTGGGAAACTTTCCACATAGAAGTGTATGTGTGCTTTTGCTCTTCTAAAATTTCAACCTATGCTCTTTTTCATTTTCCCCCCTGACTTTTACTGCTCATAAAACAATCCAGTTGTAGCTCCCTGAAAGGTTCCCCCTTTTACGTGTTGGAAGTTCAGTTCAAGTGCATTCCTTGAACTCCTTTTAGATTTTGACAGACGCGTGAATGACAACAAGACCGCTGCAGAAGAGGCGCTGAGGAGGATTCCCGCCATTGAACAGACCATTGCTGAAGCCGATGAAAAGACTCGGGATGCACGGCTGGCCCTGGGCAGCGCAGCGGCGGATGCCACGGAAGCCAAGAACAAGGCTTTCGAGGCCGAGAGAATCGCGAGTGCAGTCCAGAAGGTACTTTCCCCTGCTCCACAGTGGCCTCTGCTCCCACATTTCTCCACTTTCCATACCCTCACCCCTACCCCAAGCTCTTGCAGGTTCTTCTTGGCTCCAATAACACTGTCTTGACCTGTCCTTGTCTTAATCATCATTAGGTAACCACATTGACTGAGGAATCGTAAAAGGGCTCTTTAAGTGTTCTGAGTCTGAGTTATTATGGGGGTGGACGTATGTCAGGGTTCAGAGGCCATAGAGCCCCTTTCCACAGAAAGTAAGGTGCTTCCTAGATAAACAAGTGTCTTGGACCTGGACAGGTGACTTCTTTTCAATCTTAGGTGGAGTGTTTTGCACAACTTTTAAACCCCTCTTGAGCATTCTGCCCTACCTAAGACCCTACCATATCAACTTTCTGTAGCTACCCTGCTGGGGTTCTTTACATTCAGTTTAAGGAGTCATTTCTTTTTGCTTGTCTTTTCATATTTAAAGAGCAATCTTTTTGTTTTATTTAAAGGAGAGATTGGAGCTGATTCTAAAATTAATGTAAGAATCACAGAAATTTCTTAGTTTCTCTAGAACAATTGGCATTTGGGTTAATTATACAGTATTTTATGGAATACCTTTCAGGGTTGTGGCCTTTTTGTACATAATGAACTGCCAAGAAGAGCCAGGCTAGCTTCGAATTTAAAATTGTCCAAGTGAAAGAATGTTTATCCTGTGTGACCTCAACTTAACATGGCAATGGTAGAGCAAGTAATTTCAAAGATTAAAGAAGAGAATATGAGAGAATACGCTTTATAAAATATAAAATGCCATGATGTTAGGTAGTATTGTGTTATTAGATATTATTTAGGTATCATTTTCTTTATTGTTACTTGGAGCCCAAATAAGTCATAAAATGCTATGAATTACTGTACTACTCTTTCTGGATTGTCTTTTTGAGTCATTTCACAAATTTTAAAAGAAGTGGAATTATATTTTAGAAAAGGGAAAGCTATTTTAAATCAGCAGTTTGCTTATTTTGTGTTTAGAATGCTACGAGCACCAATGCAGAAGCGGAACAGACCTTTGCAGAAGTTACAGATCTGGATAAGGAAGTGAACAGTATGTTGAGGCAGCTGCAAGAAGCAGAGAGAGAGCTGAAGAGAAAGCAGGATGATGCTAACCAGGACATGATGATGGCCGGGATGGTAAGGGCGTGATACATTTGCTCGTGGGCAGAAATGAAGGATGTTTAAGAACAAAGGTCTCCAACCTGTTGAGAAATCTTTTCTGTATGGACTTCTTTTTGATGCATTTTCTGTTCAAGATTTAGGTTGGTAGCTTACATAAAAGACAAAGAATTTAGCTTTTCTTTCAATTATCTCTGTCACACAATTGTCCTGTCTCACAGGAAAATATTGAAAGCAAAATATTGCTTTACATAATGGAAGTTTTAGGACATTTAAAAATTATTTATATTTTTTAATTGCTAATTGTATAGAAAAAGGTAATACAAATAAGCAAAAATAATTAAAAAAATAATAAGGTAATAAAAGAGAATATAATGAAAAGTTAATTTACACTCTAGTTCTTCCATCAACTTGTTCCCTAGAGGCAAAGGCCAGCTTCTTTTTTTTTTTTTTTTTAAAGGGGTAGGAAAATTTTATTGAGAGAAAGATAGCTTCTGTCTAAGAGATAGAAAATGGGCTGCCTGCTCACCCAGCTTCTCAATGGTGTTTTATAGGATAAAGCCACCAGGTGAGGTAGGTTCAAGTTAGGACAAAACTATAGTCAACGAGTAAGATTGCAAGTATGGTTGCTTAGGTCATCTTGATCCATTGAGAAATCACAAGGTGGACAAAACTATGAACAACGAATAAGATTGTGACAAGTATAGTCGCTGCTTAGGTAATATTAAATGGGGATCCAATGGGGAAAACAAGTCACATAGCACGTGCAAGGAATGAGCAAGGATTTTCAGTGCTAAGGGGTGAGTCAGGGCTCTTTTCTGGAAGAGCTTGGTCCCCCATCCTGGTGATTTTTACCTATTTAGAATACCAATCACTGCTATTCATCCTATGTGAATATGGTAGTTTCTCTTCTTTTACAATGCTGACCTTCAGTGAAAGTGTCCTGATTGCCCTACATGTTGGCTCCTTGCAGGCCAGCCCTATCTGACTGCCTCCCAGCTACAATATTCCCCACTCTGAAGAAGTACTCTTAACTGCTGTGAGGAGGCAAAGGGCGAAGACTGTTCTGGGTACTTCCAGCTGAACAGAGTTGTAGCTGTGATCGACAGTCAGAGTTTCTCTACAGAGGGTCTGTCTAAAGGCCTTTGATAGTGCCAGCCAGTGTCATCTTGGGAGGGATATAGCTTTGAATCTCGACTAGTAATCTCAGTGAAAGACCTCCAAAATGATATAGGGGAAGAGGTGTACTCCCAAACCTACTAGATATCTAAAATACGAGTTCGTGTTCTCTAAAACCAAAGAATGAGTTCTAGGAACAACAGGTTAAGAGTAGGAAAAGTATATTGGGAGAAAGATAGTTTTTATCTAAGAGACAGAAGGGGGACCAGAAAGTGGATTGCCCAGGCCAGTTTCTTATGTATAAGAAAAAAACTTTTTTTTTTTTTTTTTTGGTTTTTTTGAGACAGGGTCTCACTATGTAGTTGAGAATGACCTGGAACTCACTATGTAGCCCAGGCTGATCTCGAACTCACAGTGATCCTCCTGCCTCAGCCTCCTGAGTGCCGGGATTACAGGCGTGCGCTACCAAGCCCAGCTGTATAAGAAATTTTTAAAGATGGTTTTCTTTTCCGTGTCACCAAGATGTACTGACCTTACATCAAATTTAACTGCTCACTTTGGTGACAATGTGATATAATACTCTTTGTCACAACAAAAAAAATTTTTTTTAGACAGGGTCTCATTATGTAGTTCAGGCTGACTTTAAACTCACTATGTAGCCCAGGCTGATCTTAAACTTTCAATGATCCTCCTGCCTCAGTCTTCAAGTACTGAGATTACAGGCATGTATCACCGGGCTCAGCGCAAAACTGAATTGTGAATGCATGGCCAACAAAGAGCTAGGGTCCATTTTTTTGTTCTTTGCTATATTTGGCTTTGGAAAGACTAATGGAGTCATAACAGAACTCTTTTCCAGTGTAGTGTGACTGTCACAGAACTTCCAGTATAAGGAAAGGCCCTTTTCTTTTCTGCTACTAAAAAAACAGACCTTAGAGTGGGTCATTTTTACCTTGGGATGGGAAGGAAAGACACAAGCTTGGGGAGGTGATAATAGGAAGCATTCTCATGAAAACATCTGATTCTGTTATGCATTTGTGTTTTCTTTGGATTGCCCTAATTTTCTGTAACACAGTGTGGCTCAAGTGGAAATTCCCATAAAGGAAAAATAGGTATTTGTCATGTTCTGAGAGTCTGTGGATTTCACTTTTAATATAAAAGAAAGAAAATGATACGTACTTTGTGAACTTAAAAAAATGGATAGGATTTAGTTCAAACAATAAAAAGATCTGTCTAGGGCAGAGGATTTAGCTCATTGGCATGGTGCCTGCCTCGAAAGGACAAGGTCCTGAGTTCTATCCCTGGTGTACTGGGGGAAATAAAAAGAAAGATCTGTCTATTTTGATTTTTGGCAAATAACTCCAAAGGAATATATACCACCCTCACATACACAATTCCACTGGCATTTATGTCAATTTCTGAAAGGATAGCCTTTTACCAGCATTGTTTGAGTCTGTAACATCTTTGGTTTTAACCCAAAGCATGAAGGTTTTGGTTGTTCCAAGGCTGGGACCCACAGGTTAAACACATCGGGATCATTCTGGAGACATCAGAGTCCTGTCCCCACTTTTCCAGCACACGGGTGGTCGGCCTGTCCTGGCTCAGGAAGCACAGCTGCCATGGGAATGGCGATTTAGTCATTTATTTGTGAACGCTTTTTGCTTCCCTTTCTTTTTTTTCTTTAACATTTTCACATTATTTTGGGTTTTTTTGGTACTGCGGATCGAATTTGGGCCCTTGCACTTGCGAGGCAGGCGGTGGAACCACTGAGCCAAATCCCCAGTCCTTCACATTATTTTGATCCCCAAATGTTTGTGTTGTCTAGACCTCAAATCCAGGGGAAATGGTGGTGTTACAGGGAGCTAAAAGCCACTCATTTATATCCTGCCTAGATTTCCTTGTAAGAGCATCTGGTTTCTGATGTTGAAATATTTCCTCTTCTACTGCTGCTTCCCGGTGACTCACGCACAGTGTGTTTATTCAGGTTTCATGGAATTTTTCCAAATATATTTACCTTTGGTTGATTTTGAAATTTTAAATTATATTGTCCCAATAAATGAGTTGCAGGGAAGGGTTGTTGCTAGGTGGTTGCAAGTTGCAGGAAATTTTACAGAAATACTTCACTTGTTTATGAAAACTTTTCAAGAATAGGACATTTCTGGGCCAGGGATTTAGCTCAGTGGTTCCACCGCCTGCCTCAAAACCCGGGTTCGATCCCCAGTACCAAAAAAAAAGAATAGGATATTTCTAATAATCAAGTCTCTGAGAATATCTTGGAAGGACATGTTCTTGTTTCTAAAATTCATCCTTACAAAATAAGATGTTTCTGCCTAGTAGATTTTATTTTGAATCTACCTCCATGTATTCTTGTGTAAGAAAGAGGAAAAGGAGATAATAATTTTTCAAAGACAGATATAATAGTGTTGGCATATTGATTGTTTTTTACTGTTTCATAAAGGAGAAATGGCATCATCCTTAACCTAGAAATACAACCCCCCAAAGAACAAAAATCTGCAGTGAGAGTTTTTAACTTCATGAGTTGGAAAAGGGGAAAGTATCTGAAAATTAGATTTGTGGGCTCACTGTGGGGAAAATAATCAAAGAATATGAGCACATAGACTCAAAACTACTCGCACCATTTATCCCTTTGCTCTTACAGGCTTCACAGGCAGCTCAGGAAGCTGATATCAATGCTAGAAAAGCCAAAAACTCTGTCAACAGCCTCCTCAGCATGATTAACGACCTCTTGGAGCAGCTGGGTAAGTGACCATAGGGTCAGTTTAGTCAGTCTCTGTATCCTTTGTGCTGTTCTTGGGATCTAATAGTTGATTCAAAGGAAGATTAGTGTGTAAAAGCCTTTAAAGTGATCCATTAAACTACCTTTTTTTTTTTTTTTTTTTTTTTTAGCTCTTATTTAAAAATGCCTTTTAAGATAGGTATGGTGGCCTATGCCTGTAATCCCTGCACTGGGGAGGCTGAGGCAGGAAGATTTCCATGAGTTCTTCAAGGCCACCGTGGGCTACATAGTTTTAGACTAGCCTGAACTATATAACGAGACCCCATGTCAAACCTCCCCCCTGCCCAAATAAACAAATGAATAAACAAATAAACAAATGCTTTTTAAAACAAACATGGGTCTTGCATGGTAGAACCTTCAATAAAGACTTGAATTGTTACAGTTTTCACATGTTCAGCAACTTCAGAGTGTGAACTGAACCATGACTTTAAGTTATATTATTAGACAAGCGCTTACTGGGTGCCTTTCATATATACCCTGCCCTAAATGAACACCATCGTCTGAGGACTGTGTTTATGTTTTGAATATACGTTGCTGGCTAGTAGAGCTCATTTGTGGTCCAGCTTCATGGTGCAATTAAACAATGATTTTTTTTTTAAAACTCCTCCTAAGAGCATCTTTTGGGAACTTAAAGGGAAGGATTTCAGTGGTAGAATAAAACAGTACTTTTACATGGCCATGATTTCATTGTCAGGAGTTCTCTTTATTTGCTTACTGAAGGACAGTTTGATTCGGTGAAAGCTTTTCTGTCCAAGGAAATGTAAGCATACTAAAACATGCTTTTAATCCAGAATGTTTAGGATAGGGAGCAGGGTTTATTTTGTGATATATATATGTATGTATGTATGTATGTGTGTGTGTGTGTGTGTATGTGTGAT